ATCGATTTCAAACATATCCTCGTGAGACTTCCATGAGGTATTATAGAAAGCTAAAGTCGCCAACATGACCACCGTTGAGAAAACCGTAATCAATAAAGAATCTCGTGAACAGGTACAGCATGACGGCAAGGAATACGCCGCCAACAGAGCACGCGAAGCAGCCGAAGAGCTGGCGAGCGTCAAAAGAGCTGATCAGAGATCAGATCGAAGACCACTTACTACATTTTTAGAGCTTTTAACGGAATGTTCCGGGTACCCCCCAGGAGGCCCGTCGCGCGGCAAGAAGGCCGAGTCAGCGGACGAGTCGCGCGCGTATTAGGGATTTCGCGTCAAGTTAAATAGAATGTCCCATTGCACGTCCTTCATCGCACATCACGCGCTGCGACTCTGCCTTCTTGCCGCGCGATGGGCCTCCTGGGGGGTACCCGAATCTTCCACGGAAAAAGCTCCGCCCTCATTACCACAGAAAACGATACCTTAAAGGAATCTTCCACGGAAAGAGTGATCATTTTGTCTTGTGTGTAGGATTAGTATTATCGAAACTAACGCTTATGTTCCGTTCTTTTTGCTATGCTCATGAGGCTAGGGGCCTAAGGGTATCGTTTTTCTGTGGTAATGGAGGCGGAGCTTTTTCCGCGGAAGATTCCTTTAAGGATGACAATTGGCTTTCAGAGCACTGCAAGTATAAGAAAAAGAGTTACTCAACCGTTAGACTACGACTTTTTTAAAAACAAGTTATCCATGTGTTCTGTGTAGTATCTGTCGCTCCTAGCAACAACTAATCATCTGTAGAAATTTGGCTGACGTACGCTGGGTTTGAGCTGGGATTCGATCCAGGGACCATACGCGCGGTAGTGGCCCCTCCTGTCACAACACCATCTCCGCTCCATTTTTGAAGTATAAACTGGCAATTGAATTACCATTGACATTTTTCACATTGCATTCGTGGAATAAGCCAATGTTCGGTTGGAAAGCAGTTGGAAAGAATTGCAAGCCTCACTTGGTAGAAGTGCTGCTCCGCTGCCTACAGGCTGCG